ATATGTTAGCACTCCCTCTAAGAGTCGCATTGACATGGATAGGTCTTTCGAGGCGATAGCGAATTTTTCGCGGAATAAACAAGTTTATTTTGAAATAAAGCGATGCTTGTTATTTGGAGGTTTTCATACCCTCGTGGGTGGAATTGATATAAATGGCATCTTTGGAGCAATACATTTTCATAAAATAAACACCTTTTAATATTCATTTTTAACTACATTTCTTCTCTTGTTTGTGTATGTATGTATGTATGTATGTATTTCCCCTTCCGGTCTGGCTATATTTACAGCAATCCTCCAGTCGACGCACGGGCACAATATGCTCCAACTGCCGGACGGCCACAACAACGCTGTGGCGAAGAAACACCAACGGAGAGCCCGTATGCAACGCCTGTGGCCTGTATTTCAAGCTGCACAGCGTAAGTTATACAAAAGAGAATTATCAAATTAACAAGATTAGCTAAAGGTACCAACCGAATCTAAGTGATGTCGATTCGGAGCAAAGCCTGGCTACAATCACTGTAAACTGTAAGTCGCAGTCTGATTCGGCGAAACCACTACAGCTCACCTCTTAGACCGGGCAACGAGGTCTATTGCCATGACGAAGCAATGTTGATTTCGCAATCTATTTTCCCCGCTGAAAGTCCTCAATGATGCCGGGTCTGAAACCCCTCAGATATGACTAACCGTCACTTGGTCGTAGCTATCTGAAAGCGGAGTGTTGCCAAGAGTCGCTAGATTTGTACTGTGTTGTAGCAGCTGATAGCAAGTGTATCCAAATCGGAGCAAAGAGCACATATTTCAGCGAATTTAACTGCAATTATGCTCTTTTTCGGATCTCATCATAGCCATAGGCGGGATTCGAATCGCGGTTAAGCATTGCGATTTCTGACTGGGCGGGACTTGTACTAGCAACATGTCAGCAAAAGGGTGAGTTAAGAGGAATTCGATCTGACTTCAAGGTTTTACCTGTCGTGCATTTGATTGGGGACATGTAAAAGTGGCTGATAGTGTCTTAGCCACTGTCCGAATCTTGATCAGGCTGTTGGCGAAACCCAGATGAGGTCGGAACTAGATTACAACGGCCCGTAGAGGTGTAGGAAGGAGGACATTTCCATGCGAATGTAAGCCCTCATTACAATTCATCTTGCATAAATTCTCCACCCAATTCCAGTAACACCCTCCCAAACTGGTGCCTCTGGAACCTCTGTAGGACTCCAGCATAAAAGCACTCTAAATGTATGAGAAAGTGAGAAGCATGAGGATTCGGATATGTACCACTTGAATGGGTGTCCTAGCCAAATTTTCCAGCCAGGGCCTTTGAAGTGTAGATCTAAGAATCCCCTACAGGACAAGAGGGACCTTTGGAATTTTGTGTCAGCCTTGTCGAGTCGACCAAGTCTATTCTTCCATATAAAGGAGACTCTGACTATGTCAGTCTGGCCAACATGCGATGTCAGCTGTGCGCCATGGCCTCTTCCCTGAGACATGTTTGGCCATCTCAACCGGGCCGATGGTTATACTTGGACGCCGACATGTCATATGTATCAATCATGTTGACGACAGTTTACATGTGGAACTTTTGTGATGGTCCACTCCTGCTAGACGGGAGGAAGGGTGGATAGGCCGGTGGGTTGGAAGAGACGTTGGTATTGGCATCTCACCTTCATAGCAGCTTGCTGTATTAAGAACCCACTTAACGTTGGGAGGATAACTTTTGCTGTTCATTGATGCCGACTACAGGCAAGCATGTGTCCTCTGATTCTGGCCTAAATGGCCAAATTGCCTGTAAATTCTGAAATACAGAAAGGAAGAAAAACTAATGTCCCTGAGCCAAATAACACAAAAAATAAGATACTCATTGCGGAGTCCAAGGCAGTGGATGAACTTGTTCAACTGATCACTTTGAATGAATGGAAATATTTTTTATTTTGACAGGTGTTTTGTTGAGCCTATTCTGTCTTCCTTTCCCACTCCATCTTGAGGCTCATTATGTGCAAGATGGCCTATTCAACGAGATCACGATCCAAAGAGGGGGGGGGCAGTAAAAGCACTTCAGGTTCAATGGGATAAAGCCTACTCAGTGTCCTCTATTGTTTCTTAAACCTCTATTTACCCCTTGTCATAAACTATAGAATTCATTGAAGATGGGCATGGTATTATGTGATGTCGGTTTGAAGTATAGCCTGTACCG